CAAGAAATACAAAAGAACATGGGGGTGTCCAAATACTTTTTGGAGTATCTGTATATTAAACTTCAAGGACTCTCACGACTTTGACGTCGAAAATATTCTCAAGATAGTCTTTTCATTAACTATCTCTTTTCACACCTACTGCGTCTAACATCAATAGTTTGCTTTATTCTGGGATCGTCTACAAAGCTACCCATAAATCCTAAAAATTATTATTACAAAAATATGATTACTGTATTGGATAGTTCCGAACAATTTATGTGTTAATAGTTGAGCTTTTTCTTCCAAAAATGTAATAGAGTCCAATACCGGTAGAGAAGACTTTAGCTGGTACCGTGTCACCAGAAACTTCACCACTAACAACAGCTGCAGATGCCACCCTCAATGCACTGGTAACGATGGGACTTAAGTACGCAATACCAGCGCACATAGCCACCGCAGCTGCACCTACGAAAAAGACACGTGCGGCATATTTCAAATATTGAGAATTACGATTTGCCACCGGTCGCACACTTGCATTCTCATTTGGTTCAACTCTTTCAATTTGATTTCGCAATTGATCGCCAATTGACACGGCTTCTTGCATCTGTCGATAGGCCTGTCGAGGATCAACTGAAATATTTTTAGTGATTTCAAGTTGTTGTTGAAGTAATTCATTTGTTATTGGATCAGCTCTTGTTCGTTCATTTTCCGCTATTGCTGCTTCAAGTGCATGGGTGTTCTGTTGAACTTCTCTTACAGTTCTTGAACAAATACTGAAAAGATTTGTTACCACATTTCGACCTTCAGTGTTGACAACTTCAACAGCTTCCTGTGATAAACTTTCATTTTGAAGGGAACGACATATTCTACCAATACTTCTCAAAGAATCAGCACTGTCGATGATATTGTCAAGATGAGTTGTTGAGTTACTGTTGATTCTTTCCAGGAAAGGAGTGCTGGGACCCATTGCTTGTAAAGCAGATTGTACACTTTCGTGATCAGCAATCAGTTCTTGAAGTTGACTCGACTGTCGAATGACTACGTCACTATTTATTAATTCAGCTGCTAAGCGGTTGACTCGATAATCGTCATTCTCTTGTATAACGCTGGTAGGGCTATCAGACACATATGAAGGAATGCTACTTGCCATAATTACTTGATGAGTGTGCTGTTATAAATTAAGAATTTGTAATAACAGTATGTAACGTTCTCTTTTATGTCAAATTGTCTCTAGTTGGAAATTTCCAAGTTATTTTTATTGTTCTGTCACGATCATCACCGTGATAAATACTTTAGCCTTCTTCTTTTGTTTATTTTAGATAGTGCACCCTCGAGGAGGAGACATGAAAACGTGTGTTCGTTTTCATACTTTTAAAGTAAAGTATACCAGGGCCTACCATTACGACGACTGTAAGCGACCGCACACTGCCGTTTACGATGACGTAAACGTCTGTATACGTACCATAAATCACTCGCTTGGCCTGAACTGTATTACGGTCGTATTCAGAGGGATACAGCGGTATACACTAACGTTTACGATCGTCTCTCCACGTATTCAAACGTCTCCACCAGAGCACATAATAAACTCGACGGAAAGACTCTCAATAAGGTATGCAACGAATCCAGTGGCGGCTGACAAACTTGGTATCCATTCACAATCGGATTTTTAGTTAATGTCTCATGGTTTTTGAGAAAACTCGGTTTCTCAGCATTTCTAATACTACATATACAGGTAACCGATCACATGAGTTTCTCATGACTCTTGAGAAAACTGGGTTCTTGAGAAGTTCTGATATCTCATCTCCAGGTAATTGATCCCATTGATTGTTGAGTATTTTTAGTACGCCATCTAAAGGGGGCTCATCATAGAGATTTATCAAAACTTTGAGAAAATCGTATTTTCGAGGTGGGTGTGGGTGTGAGTGTGGATGTGGCTGGGTGGGGTGTGGTTGTGAGTGTGGATGTGGCTGGGGGTGGGGTGTTGGTGTGTGTGGGGGTGGGGATGGGGTGTGGGTGTGGGTGTGGCTATGACTAGTAGACTAGAACGACACAAACACCCACACCCACGCCCTTTAAAGATTCAGATGAAAAACTATCATATATGAAGCGACAATATCGATGACTTGATGATATTTGAATGTAATGGTTCATAGTCAAATTATAAAAAGTAAGTCTTGGCACTGGAAAGAATACACGTTTTTGTTGCAATCGATTGCTAAAACAATCATAATAATAAAGAATTTTAAAAAATATTTTTTTCTAGTTCATTGAAATACTCATATGGATTTTGGTAAATTAACCCTGATAATGGTATGCTTTTTTGGTGCGAAATGTATTATTTTGTGTAACATTTAAAATTAATAGTTCATGAGAAAAGCGTGTTTTTTTAGGCATACGTTAGAAGTAAATTTTAATGAACAATAACTTACTGTCCTAGAAACTGCCAGCAATGTCTTTCAGATGACATTGTTGCATTGGACACACATTGAACAAACGCTAGTGCATCGAAACCAGTAAGAAATGAACATAGATGATTTAGTGCAATTAGGGAAATATAATTCAGCCAGCTATTACGTTGTGAATGTTTTTTTTCTTTTTTGGTCAAATGCAATGAGCGATTTGCTGGTCGATTTTGTTGAGTATAGACTTTTGTTTTCATTTTTTTGTTGCCGAGTAAGGTTACAATGTGAACTATGAATGAGTATGTGTGATTCATTAATTAGATTCAAATCGACAAATTAGAAATCAACATTGAAAGAACTGTTTGTTTAGCACTGATAATATTTAATAAGTATATTAGGTCACTAAGTAATAAATAATGAATTTACATGAATTAGATTGTGAAAAAGCAAAACAAAAGCAAACAGTAGTATTAGTTAAATTTGTCTATTAGCAAAACTGTAGCAGTTTTTCGACATGCATATGAAAAATATTTATGGATGAATTCATGGATATGTAACAATTTCTTTTTCAGAAAAAGTTATTTTCTGTATATGTTGGATCGAATCAGCACATAAAATTCGATAAAAAAGTTCTTTTTGAAAAAGTGGTTCGATATGCATGGATCCACACATTTATAATAATAATTATATTACTAATTAGTAGAATATAATATGTTAATCGGTTTCTATAACATTCGACAATATTGTTATCAATTAATAAAAATAACTTCGATACAACACAATTGAATAAGTAACTTTCATCTTCGTGATAAAGACTGGTGCTCAATTGTTGAATATCCTCATCTTATTTCGCTCAACATCAAATATGTACATTCTCATTATGTTGAACATTTTCTCAATGAAACAAAAACACATTTACCGCGTTTAACAGAATTAAAAGTTAATTCAGATAATTTGAAAAAGGTGACGAAAAACTTTACAAGAGATGAAACGCGATGCAATTGTGGTAGAGTCAATCGATTAATTGTTGAAGGTTTAACGGTTTATTCGAAAGATGTCTATAATTATTTTCCTTTATTGTCACCTCAATGTTATTCTGATATTATCTGAATTTATCGGAAAAAAATCTCTGATGTAAATTATAGATTTTTTTTCTTGCAACATTAAGTACGATGCGAAAAATGTGATTTGTCCATGAAGACAAAATCTTCTATTGAAACTGAGTTGTGAAAAACAATTGTTAATATAATCTTATATGTTTGTGTTGCATTGTGATCGAAAAATAAAATTGTATATTGTCTCGGTGCGATAGCGACACATATTTTTAAGTCTTTTTGTCACACATAAAGCATTTTGCAATCATCGTGATTAAAACTCAACAATCCAATCCTCGAGTTAGTAACAATTTTTGTTCTTTTTCCAACTCCTGTATTTTATGATTATACTCACCCTCACTCTTACCGTCAAAGTATATTTGTATTACAGAGATGATAGTATTCATTGTGTTGATTTCGTTTATGACAACGAAAACATATAGCTAAAACTAATACGATAGAGAAAAGGACATAATCACTGATTTTGTCACCGCATCATGAAGCAGTGAACCTTAGATTCTGGGCTGCGGTCCGACCTATATTTCTTATATTTTGAAAAAAAAAATTCTATTTTTTCTATATTTTATCGAAAAAAGTAAAAAATTTTCGAAAATCCCTAAAGAAGTCTGTTTGGTAAGATGAACTACCCAGAATTGAAAATCCAAATATACCATCTTGTAGAGAATTCCAAGGCGCATTCAATGGTGTATGATAAGTCTATTTTCTAGAAAGTTTAGGAAAAGTTATGATCAATAGCTAATCAGTATACTCCCTATAAGTTAGACGAAGGATGTCGTAAAAAATATTCCTTATATACGGTTATGCAGAGTTTTTGACGGGCTACAAGTTTATATATCTAACGTTTTTAATCACATAATATTCAGAAGAAAAAGAAAAGATGGTTTCTTATAAACTTCACACTGTTTTTGATCAAAAGTGATAATTATAGGTTCACTGTGATGAATGGTGCTAATCTTAGAAGAAGCGACCACTCGCCAAACTTTGCCAGAAACTGTGCCTTAGATAGGGCTACAAAATGCACTATTTAGTGATTCTCTAACGTTTGTGCTACATTCCTAAAACTGCCTTGCATTGGGAAATTGTAAACCCATTTTTGCCTCAATTTTCCTCTTTTGAGACCATGTATTTCGACATGTTGACTGTCAAGAGGGTGTGGGTGTCGGTGTGAATGTGGGTTTGAATTTGGGTGTAGATCCGTTAAAGGAAAACCCATACCTACACCTACACATCCACACCCACAGCCACAGCCACACTTACACCCAAACTCACACCCACACCCATACCACACCCGCACCCCATCCTAAGTATTATTTTGAGTTGAAAAAAAAAGCTGTATGAGATGGTGAGAATATGACGAAGGTACAAAAAATGTTGGCATGACTTATGTCGCCGAAATAAGAAAAACGATCAAAATAAATAGATAGAAAAAGTGAACAAAGAAATATTGAAAATAACTTTTTGCATATATATAACATTGGCAACGAACCGAGAGCATATGAAAAAATAATTAATATTAGAAACTGTTTCCAAAAGAAAGAAAAATTCTAGAAAATATTTAATTTTACTTTTGTCTAATTGATTCATTTAAAAATTCAACGAAAAAAAATTGGCGACAAAATCAGTCCGTTCTACAACACTAGCAAAAGATCGACAAAATGAATTCTGATCTATATCACGAACAAAAATCAAACGAAAAACCCCATTCGATGGAATATGTTTCACACAATATTTACAAATTTTAGTTTATTATATAAGTTAAGAAAACAAAAAAAGCTTGATGGAAATATTTGATGCAAACTTTTAGAATATCCAAAATCTATTGATTATTTTTAAATAAAAACGAACTCATTGAAAAGAATATGAATATGAATAGAAAACATTTGGCTGCTGATAAATATAGTATATCGAATTATTTATTAAAATATTCAAAAGTCACGGAGTCAGCCGCCTTCTGTAATCGAGTGGCCATCTAGTTTATTTCTGCACTTCGAACAAAATTTTTCTACTGACGATCAATTTTCTCTTTGCGTTGTTACAATACGCTTGATAGTTATCTTTTTTATATTTCCATTTTTTCTCAATTTAACATTATTATTCTAATTCACAAAGAGGGTATAGGTGTCGGTGGGTTATTCTGATGATGAATTTCCAGTTTCCCCATACTTATATTTTCAAAGTTTACTATTTACCGTACATAACTAGAATACACGAACTCTTTATTAAATAACTTTTTCTCAAAGAAAAAGAAATTCAAAGACTAGTGTCATAGTTTTCATGGAAAAGTACTTGTAATTCTAGCTATCTTGAGTGTGGCTATTCAATGTCTTGCCCTTTGTTTTATCATTCAATTGCAACGAATTGGCATATTCATCGTAACTATATTGGTTTCTCATTCACTTTTTCCCAGTTAGTTGAGGAAACCCTATTCTGCCGTTAAAACGATGTTTAATGTCACATCGTTTAAACGACGATATATTGACCAAATTACGCGTTTATCACAAAAAACGATTTTCTACGTCATAAAGTAATATTATGTTCTTGTCGTTTAAACGTCGGATTGTAAATGTCATAAATAGTGATTTATTGACGTTAAAACCATAATTTTTCTTTATTTTATCTGTCGTAAACGATAC